TGTCCTGATTCTGCTTCTTTTGTTGTCCTACCCTGTCAATATGAAAATGTATACAATTGTTAGTATTTGTTTGAATTTAAATGTTTAAGTTATGACTGTTATTAAGATTTGAGATATTATTAGTATTTTTTTTAATTTAAATGTTTATGGTTTTACTTGCATTTAAATATTTAGTATATATAAAATTAGAACTTAGATTGTTTAGAAGTAATTAAACTAAAATATATATTTTTTTTAACTGTTCGCTTTGCTTCGGTAAAGCGTGTCGCTTCGCTTCTCGCTTCTCGCCTAGGCGTTAGGAGCCTTGGTCGCTTCGGTTCGCTTTACGCCTTAAATAACACTGATTAGGCCCTTCTTGGACTTTCTTTGTTGAGCAGAAACTTCATCCTACATAACAAACTAATGTGTGGTCAGCTTCTTCTCTTATAGGTTTGTCTTCATCAACCCCTTTAGGTATATCTCACTCCACTTGGGACTCTAATTTAGGTGTGACATATCATATGACTAATGATCCATCTTTATTTATTTCCACCTTGTCTCCCCCTTCTTTTACTACTATTATGGCCGCTAATGGCACTCCACGTCGTTGGCAAGAATTGGATATGCTATTTCATTTTTATCTCTTTCTGATGCTTATTATATCCTTCAACTATCTTTGAACTTGATTTTTAGTAGGCAACTTTGTGATCTCGGTTCTTGTTCAATTCTTCTCTACTATTTGTATTGTGCATGATCCTCATTTCAAGAAGTTGATTGGAATAGGCCTTATAGTTGGAGAACTATATGTGTAGGAGAAATTGCATGGACTGCTTCCTCTGTTGATTTATCTTCATTTCGTTAAAATTCTAAGCTTGTTTTATTTCTGGCATTCTCATCTTAGACGTATTTCTAGTTCTTGTTTATGATTTTAAGTTTCTACTAGGATTTTATGAAAATTAAGTTGTTATGATATTTTTGATTGTAGTGGCCGTAAACTTGCTAAATTCACGGTTTTACCTTTTAAGAACAATAATACTTCTTCTGCTCCTTTCGACCTTGTCCACTCTAGTATGAGGGGCCTTGCTACCAAAGGGGGGTCTCGTAACTATGTTTCTTTTGTTGTTGATTATACTCGTATTTTCAGATTTATCTCATGAAGCAACAATCTAAAATTTTCTTTATTTTTATTGCTTTTCGGTCTATGATTCGCTCACAATATTATATAGTTATTAAATGTTTTCCGTGTGATTTGGTTGGGAGTACAAATATTACGATTTCTTGACTTGTTGAAATCCAATGGAATTATTCAATAGTCCTCTTGTTCTCTTACTCTTGAGCATTTGGTTTGGCTGAGCGAAAGCACATATATATTATGTAGACCGCCCATTCATTGCTTTTATCTATGCTATTCCCAAGATTTTCTGGGAAGAGACAATTCTCACAGAATGTTTTCCATTTTCACCAAATATTTTCTATTATTACTTTGAGTGTTCATTCTTTTGACCGTTTATATGGTAAACCTCCTGACTACTTTTCATTTCGTATGTTTGGTTGCACTTGTTTTGTTCTTCTTCTTAAAGCTAAATGAAATAAGTTATCTACTCATTCTATTGTGTGCTTTTCTTGTTTATTGTGAGGGATGAAGTGGGTATCATTGTTATGGCCCTATTACAAAAATACTGTATGTATCTAGATGTCATGGGGTAACTCTCGTTTTTGTAACTTGTTTTCAAGGAGGCAACTACTCATGAAGGCGTTGCTTCAACAACTAATCAGTCAAACTAGTAAAAGGGTACACACACACACAAAGGCAACATACAAAGTATGGGAAAAACACTTAGCAACCTTATATTATTGCTCACAGAATACAAGAAACTCACAAATCTAGACTTTCTGTCTACAGATTGTCCCAGCATTCCCTATTTATACGAGGAATATGACAGTTGATAGCCCCAACTGCCTAGGGTTTATTGGCTCACTAACTAGTCAGTTTCATAAGCATGGCAGTTTCTGGCAAAAACTGTCATGCCAAGCTACATCTCTGCTTGACAGGTGGCTGACGATTCTTCCAATTCAGTATCTACGTTGGTAACCACCCATAATTGTTTGCCCATGATCTGGTCATGCTTAGTAACCGCCCTCCACTGCTTTCCATGATCAGGTCATGCACAGCAGTCGTTGTCAACTACCTGGTTCTATGCGTTGAGCGGAACTGTCCCCGTTATGTGTTTGCAAATCAGCAGCTAATCCTTGCTCATGAACCACTCAAGCATGTTGGGCCAAGCCCAAGCCATGCCATGAGAAGCCATGCACCAACATTGCCTCAACTGAGCCTACTATGTGTTGTCGTCCTTAGTCGTGTGGTCTTTCTTCCATAGCTATAGGTCTTTACGATTTTTTCGGTCCCACCATTTATCTCGCATTCCCTTGTTCACCTCCCTCACCCATGACAAGAACATTGCTACATACCTTTCCCAATGGTGCCAAGGCTTAGGGGCAGAAGGCTTGTCGGGCCCTTGGTGCCCCTCAACTATCACCACCCCCTTGTATATGCTCTTAAAAGGTTTTTCAAAGTGACATGAGCGAACATCATTTGAACTAAGGAAGCATAATGACGAGAGCCTAGGGTATAGTACCTGGAACTTTTGTCGAACACCTTAGTTACATCACCTTGCTTTATAGTCATGGAGTGCCTTGGTGCAAGGTGTCGCCAATACATGTCCATTTTCGTCTTAGTCAATTAGGGTCTAACACTAGACATTTGACATTTCTTGAGCATATTCCTTTCTTTTTTATTCTTGCTACTTCTAACACATCTACTAATTCTGAATTGATTTTATTTACCCTTTCCTTGATGATATTTATGGTGATTTATATTTGTGGCATGCTCACTTTTGACATCCGCTCTTCGCCTTAGTCTTCATCTTCTTCAGTTTTTTGTCATTATTGTCTTACGTTCACTCTTGTCTGACTTAC